CAATGGCAGGAGATGTTCTCAAGACTGTCCAGCAAATCATCAAGCAGCAGGGCAACATGAGCCTGGAGGATGCTGGCTTCTTTATCAGTAAGCTTCGGGTAAGAGTGGCGGAGTTCTCTCTGCAATATCATCCCTGTTATGTTCACGTTCATACTCCATTCTACCTTACTGAACCATGAAGTAAACTTAATTTAAGGGAGATTCTAGAGTTAGTTAAAATACCTGATCAGCTGTGAAAATACTAAATGTAAGATGCTATCCATCATTGCAAAGGTAATGTTGTTTAAGGACTGTATATGGACATAAGCCCGATCACCCACTGGTATGTGAGGTCCTGTTTTGAAACCTTACCTTTTTTTTTTTTAGCATTTTGGCTCTAAAGTGTAACCATATGTTACCATGTTTTTTGGCTCACTCTGGTGTTTTTGCCACTGCAGGTCCATTTTGTCAATATTGGTCATACTATGATCAGAAAGAAGGGTTATCTGATGTTTGCCCATTGGCTAATGACCTGTGATTGACAAGTGATTAACCAGTGTGTATGCAGTTTCACATTCAGACCCGCCCATCTCTCGTCACACCTGGCTTCAAATTACTCATCTTTATATTTCAAAACATGACTTCAGAAATCGATGGATGACATCATGGTAGCCAGCGTCTTTGGCTAGCCTTTTTCATGGTCATTTCCCATAGAATCCCATTTTAAAAGGTATATCTACAGCCTGCTGAAGAAAATGTATTATTATGCTACCAAACACACACACATATCTGGTAAACAGTTACTCAGCTTTGTCTTGCTACCAATCTGTTGTCGTTAGGATGAGAATCGCTATCACGAGGACATCTTTGGTGTCACCCTGCGCACCTACGAGGTCACCAACCGTATTCGTTCAGAGTCCATAGCCTACATTGAGGAGAGCAAAAAAGACTCAGATGAGTAAGTGTTCTACATTTCCAGTATTTTTTTGTTTCTTTTCATATTTAGTATGTTACAAAACTGTTCTGAAATGTCAGTAAAAGTCAGAAGAATCTTTTCTTTGGTAAAATATTTTTCATGGGTAAAATAAATGACTGATGATTCACTGTGAATTCATGCTAACTTCTAATTAATCATGAGGAAAGGCTTTGTGAAAATCAGTTCTTTATTTAATATTAAGAAAATTTAGAAAATGTATAACATTATCAAAAAAACAAACAAATAAAAAAAACAGAAAAGGATTCATATCAACTATTTTTCTATTGATCATTCACTCATTCACATCCGTACAGTAAAATCAGGACCAATTACCACTGTGGAAAAGCCCATTCATATTTATGTCAATATTGCAACTACAAGAGCAGCTTTATCTCAGAAACATTTGTAAGTCAACTTCAATCTGCAACCTGTAGTTGCTGGCGACAACAATGTGTTGTCATCACTAGCTTCAGATGAAAACAGAGCAGGTAACCATAGAAACCTGTGGAGAAGAGCATTTAAACTAACAGGATTAGAGTGAAAGCGAGTGGCTCTGCTCCATTTCTGTTTTTGTTTCCAGCGTTATTTGTGCATATTCAAGATTAGACACTTCATATACCCTCGCCATAAGAGCAAAACAAGGGCCCTACATAGCCACTATGGCTCATTAACCACCAACAAAATGCATCACAGACGATGGTTCCTGTGTGGATTGTCACTTGAATTTCACATTCGGCCATCAAAGCCCCTGCTTGCTGGATGAGTAATGACTGTAACATCTCTATTTCCATGTCCCTGTTGCTCTTTCTGTCTGTCTGTCTGTCTGCCTGTCTGTCTGTCCTTCGCACTTTTTTTCTCTTCAGGGTTTTCTGCTCGTAGGTTGATGAATCGACAGGCTTTCTGAAAACAACAAGACACAGCACCGCTGGTTTACTAATACTGTGCCAATTTTTGTACTGTAAAAAATGGGTTTGTTTGTGTTCTTTTTTTTATATACCATTTTAATGTTTCTGTTGGGCTCTGCGATCTTGTCTGTAGCAAGTTGGAAATGTTCTGTTCTTTGAGAATCTGTTTTTGCTTGTTGATGATACTTCCAAAAATGATCTAGTGTAATGACCTGCCTCATTGTGAATGCATGACCAAGACAATATATTCAAGAAATATAATATACTCTGTGTTATTGTTACTGTTAAAAGGCTTTTATTGAGGTTTTATATTTGCAAGGAAATGTGTGGCATAGATAGTAAACTTTCATTTCTGTGTGGATTAAGTCAACTTTACTTGTTGGGAAAGTATAAGGACTGCTCAAATATATTTGGACTGTTTTTCATTATCAATATCAATCTCTTTAGTCCTTGACTAAGAAAAAGAAAAGATGTATAGGCATGCAGACAGAGAAACTGAAGGACACGTGCTGCGGACAAATTTAACGTATTGACAGGTATCCCTGAATAATGAAAACATAAATTCTGCCACTGCCTCCATAAACAGATTACCTTGCTCTTCATTGGCAATTCTTCAAAATGCATCAGCCTCTGTGCGAGTGCCATTTTTCTTAGTGTGCTCATTCTGCCATAACATCATAATCTTTTGGGTCCCAGGTGGTGTTTGCTGAAACTGCAGCACTAATGTGCAGGGCAGCCACTAAAGACCAAACGTGAGTCAATATATCTTAAAAATAAACTTCAATGATAAACTATTAACAAAAATATAGGTCTTGAGGGCTTTTTAATTTAACATCTAAATCGTACTATGTTCAATGTGGTATAACGTGTTATAATGTGTTAAATTCTAAATGTCGCGGAGGATTTTTTTTATTTTTCATCAGCTGTTTGGAATAAGCTGTAGAGTAAATGACTAATCGGTGAGTAAATGAATAAGTAACAACTTAAAAGAATTGTTCGATATCATGGAAAATACATTTATTCACTCCAATAGGCTATCTCAGTGGCAGCTGTTTAAAACTTTGTTAAGATGTGTCCTAGATTTTGTTGTGTTTCATTGCAGCAAAGGTTGTCCAACTAAAACACAAGTCTGAAGAGGAAACGTATTTATGGGTACCTGATGTCCAGAATTAAAATGCTGCTGATATCAACAGATTGGTCTAGCAAGGCTGTTTCCCCCATTTCCAGGTCTTCTTACCCCTAATTGCCCATAAATCAAGTTTACTATTTTTACACTTTGGTTTTTGTACAGAATAAACTAATTAAATATAACATGTTACTCAGTGAGCTTTAATCGTGCCGTATTTGCGACCTTTGTAGAGAGCCTGTTTCCAGTCTGTATGCTAAGCTACACTAAATGGTTCTTGGCTGTAGCTTTGTATTTGCTGTAAAAACACAATATTGGTATTGATCTGTTCATTTTATTCTCAGTAAAATAGAAAGAGCCTTTTCCTTAAAACTCAAGTAATCCGTAACAAAACGTTGTTACTGAAGGGGAAAAGATGCTGCCCAGTTCGTATCTGACAGCTGTCAACTTGCTCCACTTATCACCTATTGAGCCTTTAAAATATCTATTTAACAGCATCATATCTCCTCTGCCTCTTGCCTTACATTAACACTTTGCCTACGTTTATGCATTCATCCTTTCAGTTTTTTTCTCTGCATGTTTGTGCTACCTTGTGGCTCACGCGCCACCCCTTCACTGTGACCTGACATCTGCTCAACGGCATCAGCACGCATGTGTGTATGCATGCATATGTGTGCCCTTGAAATTATCATAAGTGTGCGCATCTCTATATACGAGTGGGTGTAAAACATGCATGATCTCAGGTGTGTGTTTTTACATGATTATTCTACTTGTCTGTTACCTTGTCAAACTGCTTCGATTTTTAAAATAAGCATGAGTACCCTGCTCTGAGTCACACAAGCCTGCAGATTTAATGTTACAGATGGTGTTTTGGTAACAGAAAGCTGCCCACATGGCTTTTAGTTTTGATCGCAGCAGTTCGGTTCTATTGTTTTAAGTTCCAGCGAAGTTTCATCCAGAGACAAGAGGCAATCACACTGCCACTGTGGTCATTTGCTGCTTTCCAACGAGTCAGGGTTGTAATTTGAAAATGTATGTGCAGGGGCCACATTGTTTTTTTGATCACCCACTTTGCATTAACCTGTGGCTTTTTCTTGTCAGCTTATGTGTCTTGTTTATTCCCTTTCTTTGTCTTTATTTCAAATTAAAGATAGCTGTCAGCATGACTAATTGATTTCATTGTGATTTTTAAATGTCCCTTCCAGCTGCTGAGAGTACTTTTTTGGTTTTCTAATTTTGCTATGTTATAGTTGGGAGATAATGGGTGGGTCCTATTTTCCCTGCTGTTGTTCATTTTGGATGAATGTCTGCTCTGATTTATTTAAACACATTTAGTTGAACTGGAATGAAAGCTGTCAAGAAAATGTCTGTTGTGTAAAATGTGCAAACAGAAAAGAATATTATATATAGCTTCTATACATATATATAAATATCAAAAGACAAAGTATAAACTATAAAAACTACCACTACAATCTTTTCTAAGAATGTATTTTGATTATGTAAATGAGCACTTTGATTCTGCTTGATTTAAAAGGAACAAAAAAAGGCCTATTCTTTGTCGTGTCTGTCACATCCTTTAGGTATGAGGGTAAAACAGCAGCATTAAACAAATGCATGATACTTTGTCTCCTGTTCATATTTAAAAAGCTCTGTCTCTTTACCAGCACTGTGTCAGTTAGTGAGACTGTTTTGAGCTTGTCTGGCCTGTCTCACGGGGCCCTGGACTGTAACAACTTTGTTGAGAGGTTCTTATTTTTCGGTGTTTGCGTATCGCTGCTGCTATGAACAACTCTGATCCAATCAGCCTCTGCTATAATGACCTTTGTTGTGTACTTAATTGAGGGTATTCCATTTAATGCATCAGCTGCAAGGACTTTGCATTTACTTACAAATAAAGAGAAACATTTACAGAATATGTAAACACATTTGCTTGGTTTGTTTTTCTTGTTTATATAAGAAAGAAAGCAGAGTGGAAAGGTTTATTCAGCCAGTAGAAAGTGTTTAAGGTTGAGGCATTTTAGTTCGGGGGTGAGGTGCTCAGTTTATGAAGCAAACAATCCATTTACTTCCCCCTCCTCCTTTTCCTCCCCCTGTAAATGTTGGTTGTCATGGTTGAAAGAGTCGGCACTCAGAGTACTGAGAGTGCCATGACAACCTGTCAACAAATCAAGCCATCCAAACATGACAAAAGAACTCTGATTGGTGACTTACAGTCAGGTAGTGAAGCCCTAGCCTTTTTAATTACCACAGCAGAGTTTGCCAAGACCTTTAAGTAAGCTCTGTTGCGAGAAGACATAGTGCACCAAATCCTGCTGAAATTCAGTGCAGTGATTGAGCTCACAACGCAAATATTTTACTTGCCGTTTGGATCTAAAAGCACAAAAAAAAGGACAGAAGGAAAAAAGAAAGAAATTACTAAGGAATTTCTGCATAAAGGTAGCAAAATAGTTGTCTTAGTATCAATATTACAGCTATTATCAGTGTCATGCTTCATGGGAAGAAGTTGGCCAAGCAGGTGCTGCTGCCGTCTGTGCTGGAAGACGATGACGCAGAAACAGAAAGTGGGAAGCTGCAGCTGGGGGAGGTAGGAAACCGACTATGCAGCCAAGTTTGCAAACTCTTGAGCAAGGGAAGTGTGAACGACCAGGTAGGTAAGATTGGATTCTTGAGACTGTTCAAAGGCAGAATTTCAAAAAGCTCGAGATTAAATAAGATATAGGAGACGGACTTTGGGTGAGAACTGAAAGCATGTTATAGACCTGTAAGAGCATAAAAGAGCATAATAGGTTTTAGAAATTGAGATCTTAATCAAATCTCTAGGCACGTCTAAGCACTTTCCTTGCCCTGGGCAAGGAAACACAGCCTCAAACGTACAGACTAAAGACCTGCTGCTTCCTTTTATAAACTGCTCTTTTGACCTGTGTACTCACATGAATGTATTTAAAAGGAGGGCCTCAAAGTCATGTCCTTGTGTTTTAATTGCACTTTTGGGTCCCACTGTATGAGAAATTCACTATCAGAGCTGTGCCCGAACATGTGCAGGACCTGTTCTGCTATGCTAACTAATTCTACTTATGTATTCTGGAAATAACAATATAAAGCATCACTGACTGAGACATATGTGAATGTACCATAAGCTTAGGAATAAAAGGAGTGAAAGAGAGCAAAAATAGCTTGTGGTTGAAGAGGTTAAAGAGAGGTGGGAAGAATGGAGTGGGAGGATAGGGAAGTACTTTCAAAGATTATAAAAACAGAAGGATACGATCTTAAAGACACAAGCCCACACTGATGAACTAAACACTGTAGGTATTGGTTTTATTCTCCTGGCAGTAAAATCAATCAACTCTGCTCACACAGGCAGCGTACAACAGACAGGTTTGACGAGTCACGATGTCTTACTTTCTCATTTTCCATCTAGCCAAGAATGAGCCAGACAGAGGTTGATATGCGTGGGCCAAAAGACCAACACTCAAGCCCTGACAGGAACGTGCTAGACGGAGGCATAAGACACGAGGAAGACGAAGAAAAGGAGCCTGAAGTACAGGAGTGCCTGAGCTCTGATGAGGACTATGATACAGATTTGGAGCTCGAAGGTATAATTTAATTTTGGCAACCAAAAGGAGATCAATTGGGTGGGAATGTTACAATATTTTATCATGTTTTGATAGCAAGTCTTAATTTGCTCTTGTTCACACCATGTAAGATAAGGCAAAGCCCTCTTGTCACCCATCTGTTTTTTTTTCCTATCTGCCTTTCCATTTTCTCAAACACCAAATGACTTTTAAAAAAAAAGACACTCCTACATGCACCCACCCACATATGTGGAGTCCTATTCTGCATGTTAATGATTTCATCTCAGTCTTTGTGTCAGGCTTCCTTTTCACCAGAAATGAAAACCATCTGGTATGAATGAGCTTTCCTGACAGGGCAAAATCAACAACAAGGGATATTTCAATGTCCCACTCAAAAGGTCCTTCAATGGGAAAATGTGCAATATCACTCCTTTTTACACAAAAGGTACGGAGCGTGAACGACTGAGACAGAGTGCTGTCTTTATGTTGCAGGTAAGGAGGCGGCATACGATCTGTCGGGGCAGACATGCTACATGACAGCGTGTAAAAAGTTCCGGGTGGTCCCTGCCTCTTATTTCCTGCAGCATATGCAAAATAGCACGCTGGTTATGATGCATCGTGGCCTGGGGCCTCAGGTATAGTAAAAAATAAGGCAACATTTTTAAAATTATTAGAAAGACAAAAAGGCTGATACTTTCATGGAAGGCTTTGGAGTTTGAGTTTCTGGTGACAAAAGAAAAGATTGTCAATAGTGCAGGGGAAGATGATTAATTTCTTTATTCTGTAGCTCTTTTTCTCCCTAAATGTTCCTATTTTATTATTGTTTTAAGAAATATGTTTATTGTTAGTTTCATAAGTAATAATAATGCAATAATGATAATAATAATATTACCAACAAAAACATTTATACATGTTATTAATAAGCGCATCTACAGTATTATGAAAAAAAAAAGTATTGGGCCACCTCTTAAACCTTTAAATGTCATGATGATAGGGAGAATTTTTAAAGTGGTCTTGAACAGTTCTCCAGGGTTTCTGAACGTCTTTCAAAGGCTTTCATTGGACATTGGCTGCTTTTTCATTTTTAGTCCAGTCCTTTTACCTGACCATTTTCAGAAGAATGTTTTTTCTGTGTTTAGTACTGACCTATGAATCACTCAGGCACAATGAATCAATGAAACAGTGAACTCATTTTAAATTTTATCTTTAGGCACTTTGTTGCTATCAGTTGGTTGTAAAATACATTAAGTACAGGAATAAATTAAGTTACCACAGTGATTTAGCCAGGTACAAAGCGAGACACTTTTGTGATACAGAAAAGTCTCACTTTAAATTCCAAGTAGCTTGCAAAACCATTAATCTTAGTTTGTAGTGCACCTGTGAAACTTACCCCTCCTGGAGCTGGGTTCTGCCAAAGGTTTCTTTCTGTTAGTCCTGTAAGTCTAGGCCACTACAAAACCTTCATTTTTGTCAGCTGTGGTTTTTGTGAAGACTGGCTGTGTATCAGGCAGGAGTAGGACCCAAAAGCAGGACATATAAACACAAGGGGTAAACTAAAAGCAGCTTTATTTAACTGAAAGTAGGTACAAAAGTCAGAAAACATGTAAAAACCACATCAATGAGACTTCAGGGGCAATATACTGCAAGGGAGGGCAAAACAATGAGGAACAACACCACAAAAAACAAAGGGAGATTCTGATCATATATACATGTCAGGTAATTAGGATTAGAACACAGCTGAACAGAATCTAGCTAATGAGACAAGGTGGAAGGAGGAGGGTTAGGAGACTATCAAAATAAGACAGGAAGTAACACACAGACTGAGAGCAAGACAGACACGTGAACTTAAATGTAATGGAATGAGTTTCCTCCATTTGTTGATAATGACTTTCACTCTAAGGCTTTGTAATTCTTTTTGGACAAATAAATGTCAATGATTTTGTTTCCCAGCTGTTCTTGACTTTCTTTAAGTCACTGTATGATTTGTTGTTTTTTCTATTTAAGCGATTTATTGATTTGACAGGTGTAGCAGTAATTAGGCAAAGGTATGGCTAAAGAAATTAGACTTAGCTTTTCAAAAAAATCTGTTTTTTCACAGTTTATTCATGAGTTATAAATGGGGCAATTATTTTCTCACTTGGGGCCACGTAGTTTTGGATAATCATCACATAAAAACTGCATTTTGTATCTACGCGGACAAATATGCCAAAAAAAAAAAAACCAACCCCAGAGAGAGAGAGAAAATAAATCAGGAAAGAGCCAGAAAAACAGTGTTAGCATAAAACTAAACTGGTAGTTTGGCTGCAGCTGGCTGTTATTTTCAGTGATAGAAAGTAGTCAACTGGCCACTAGACACTACTGAGGCCCAGCATTTCCCTCAAACCAAAAAGCAGTACCAAGAGAGGAAAAAGCTGAATTTACATTTGCCAGGTGGCCAGGAATACAAAGATGTCCTCTGACCTAACAACATTCTGCCCTACTTCGTGTTGCAATTTAGTTCTACCCAAACAGTAAAATCAGATATTGCGATTTTAAGGTATTTAAAAGAAATAGTATACTGAAGGTAAAAATTTTAACTGCTTTCCATCAGCTTTGTATTCATTATATTCTGTGCAATTTTGGGATTTACAGTAATCAAACTATATTAATATCAGAGTTAGAGTGTTATTACCCCAAAAACCACAAATTAAACTGGAGACTGAAACCAAACCTTATTTAAAAAAAAAAAAAGGGGGGGGGGGGCTATTTCAATAATTGAGTAATCTAAGTAGTTAGAAGTTAGAAATTTAAAATTTAGTTTAATAAATTCAAGTAGTTTTAGAGTTTTGTTCCAAACAGACCGCACCAGAGAAACAGCCACACTTTGTTTAATTAATATAGTCTTTGCAGCACTTTATGATTTCTCCCTTAGTGCATTTCATTTATTAGACCTGTCAATCTACACCCTCAGCAGATATGCCTGGAACATTTCAAAGCAGACAATACAGCTAATTTTTTTCACAGTTTTTAACCTTATCAGGGTCACTGAAAACATTTTTATCTGGTGTTAAAAAGTCAACACATCATTCAACATATTTCTTTCTGGCTTTAAACAGACTTTAAAGAGATGATTTTCAAGCTATTGAGGGTTAGGTACCAAAGAAAATGATGACACCATTATAAAACTGAGGTCATGCTGTATTAAAAACTGATACAGAAGGTTCAGGCCCACCCCCACAATCCTTCTCTTTTTGTGTAGAATGGAAGAATATCTCCCTTTTCTCTCCCTGGCTCACTCATCAGATCAGTTTCACCTGATGGAGGATATTTGAAATGAACCAACTGTGCAAAGGTCCTCACATGCATGTGAAAACATGCGTGTGAGTACCAGCTAGGCATGTTCAAAATGATTATCTTGTAACAGTATTTTAGATTAATCCAGGCTTTTACTCAGTGTTACTAATTCAAAGTCACATGGCTCCTTCAGGATAGATGATCATGAGATCACTAGTAGTCAGTTCTGTGTCCAAGTCCAGCGCAGAGCGAGATTCAAAGATTTCAGTTCTTTTCCAAGGACACGGAACATAAATGGATCATCCCCAACACTCAATCATCTGTCTCCTATTGTGCTGATCCTCCTCCCAACAAAATACTTTAAACCAACCGAGGCAATCAAAACTTCAAAGGTTCACTGTGGTAGCAGTAGTAGTGATGCTACATTGTAAGTTTTATTAATAAAGTAAGCTATTGCTTCTTGGTGAGAAAAACACAAACAAATAAACACCATTGCATTGTTTAGATCATTTTCATTTCCATGCACTGACTGCAGCTTAGATTTTTTGAACAAGATGATGTAGCTGTAGATGATAGTTGATTTAGATGTTGCTTATTAATTTGAAGAGCAAGAGCTTTAGCCAGCCTTAAAGCTAGGTATTGTTGATTTGTCTTCTCTCCACTATTTTGTAAACCTAATGTGCAAAGTTTGCAAGCGTCCTTGGTCAAATTTGTGGTAAAGTTCTTTGCAGCTAACAGATACTTATCAAACAAGCAGGATTTGCATTTCACTGTGATGTTTTTCTTGTCTTAGCTAGTGGTAATGACCATTAAAGTTGCAGTAATGGATTTTTAGATGAGATAATAAAATATGCTATCAGGATTTTTACCTTAAAACATGTACCAAATCTACTCAAAACACATTAACACTAATATTGCTTTTCCTACATGATCTCCATACATTTGATTTATGCAGCAAGCGGTATTGTTAATTGTCACATTTTATCCTAAAGCCCCATTACGCTTTTCCTGCATCCCCTCTACAGTACTTGTTGTTGACAGCATTTGACAGTTCCGTTTGTAACAAGATAATCAATGTTATGACTTACCTGTCAGTTGTTTTCATTTTGTGGATACATAGCTTTGATGCTGTAGTCTGTTATATAGACCTCACCAATACTTACTCCAGTATTTCACCTCTTAAGAAAACAAGCTTCTGTTCTTCTATTTTCATTCTATTGATCTATGCTGATAGAGAAAACCTATTTAATTACATGGTCCTGCTAAACATTAGAGACAAGATTATTATAGTGTCACAACCTGAAATAAACAGATTTGCACTACATTTTGTATTAAACATTAACATTTCCATACATATACACATCATTAAGGTTTCTCTATTATTCTTACAATATACTCATTTAAAAAAAGAAGAAGCACAAAACATTAAACAAAACAAAATTTAAAATTGTATTTTTGTCAATTATGACCCCTATCTATCCCTAGTAATCGATACTAATTATTGTCCTTTTTTTCATAGTAATCAGTGTAAAATACCTCTTTGGTTTTACATATCCGACTGAGGGATGAATACATTCTTTCCAAAACTGAAACTGGTCAGGCAGGGGCTTTCAGCTGCTGCACAGTTTGACATTTTTACAGGCTTGCACTGCTCTATAATGGTGTAAATGAAAGTTATAAAAGATAAATTCATTCCTTAACCAGCTCATTCCGTAGGTTCCAGCACCAGGAACATCATTCAGACAGATTAAATTGGATTTTAAATATGTCTTTATCTGTCAAACACAAAAGGTAAAATCAAAAAGTGTGACTTCCAAAGGTTATCTGTTTTATGTCTAGGAAATTGATACGCTTTTTAAATCTTACAGAAATTTACTTTGCTTGCATTTAAACGTGCTATACCCCGATGAGGCAGATTCTGTCCTATTTATCATCAAGTCGACTCAATTAAGGCTTCATGCACTCAACTTTCTCATTAGCCATGCTAGAAACAATAATTTTCATGTGCTGTGAGTTTCATTTCTGACCTACGCCTCCACATCGCTCCCTTCTGCTTCATTTGTCTTGTACAGGTTTAATATTCCCCTCTCTCTCTCTGCCCACCTGTGTGAGTACATCTTTTAACAGGAATGCAGATAAGAATATATACTGCTGTGAACAAACAGAAGAAATTCACTTTGAGGATGGGTTGGGGGGGGGGTATGGTTGTGTACTTTCAGGGCACCAAAGCACTGGCGGTTCCCCTGGTAACCAACACTTCAATACTGCGGCTGAACCTGCGAGATAATTGGATGGAAGGCATGGGTGGAGCTGCTATAGCTGAGATGTTAAAAGGAAATTGCTACATTACAGGTGGTTTTACTGTGATTTACTGTGGACTCAACACGTTGTGTTCTTTTTTTCTTTGTACTTTTTAATGGCAAAGGTGGGACCCCAACATCAACATATTCAACATGTTCCGCCAATAAATATAAAACACTTACCATCTCAAGTTTCTATCTGTTCTTTCTCATATTGCACTAGTTGTATGTGCAGTTTGGAACATGAGAACACTGTAAGGAGAGGAACACCTATATATGGTTCCTCTACATATCATTATACCGAAGCCTTAAAGTCCCATAAGGTGAAATTTATCCTGTACACAAGATAATTGTAAGAACAAATCATTATACTGTGCAAGAAATTTCAATTTCCTGTAGGAACATGTTACTTTGTTGCAATTTATAATAAGATCTTGTGCAAACAACTTCAGATGCACACAGTCACATATTAGAGACAACACAGCTAATCAAGTTTTAACTCAGGAATGTCACGTTGTTTTTATGTATTTTTTATTTTTATAACATATTATATATTTGTCTGATAATTTCCACATTTTGTCTGATCAGTTCCTAACAACATTTAAATTTACAATAATGGATCACACCGCAGTGGGGAATATATTTCATCACAGTATTACTGAAAGTGCAGTAACTAGTTTACGAATATTCCTCCATTGTTATCTTCTTCAATGCTATGTGTCAACATACTGCAGACCAGCTACCTGAACTTTACCCCCACAAAGGTTGATTATCTCATTAATAAATTTACATCTTCACTGTATATGATTCCAGATACAGTAGAAAATGAAAAAGCATCAAATCACAAGTATTTGATTCTCTGGTATAACTCTCAAAAATGCACCATAAAAGAGATAACTTGTAAGCTGGAGTGGAAATTGTCTCACCAATTTAGAAGATCATCATTTAGCAAATAGTTTGTTGCTCTATAAAAATAAATAAATAAAAAATCCACAAAGCTAGAACATCTTCATCATTGATTGAAAAAATAAGAACATTTGAGTTGGCTTCAGTAATTCCTCCAAATCATCAATGTGTTTTTTTAGATTCCATTCCTACAAGAGTGTTCAAAGAAGTCCTACCATTAACCTTTAATGCTTCAATCTTAAATATGTCTCTATTAAGCTACATATCACGGGCCTTTAAGATGGCAGTAGTTAATAAACCACTATTTAAAAAGCTAATTATAAGCCAAGCTCCAACATTCTTATTCTCTCAGAAATAGTAGAGTAGTTGTAAAAAAGCTAACTGATCATCGGTTGAGGAATGGTTAATTGAAAGAGTTTTAGTCAGGCTTCAGAGCTCATCACAGTACAGAAAGAGCTTTAGTGAATGTTACAAATTATCTTCTTATGGCCTCTGTTAAAGAGTCCTTGGGCCAGGGCATGCGTTACTTGCATGGGAGGAGCATGATTCCCCCAGGGGCCAACAGCCAATCACAATGCTCACCCATTCTCTCCTTGCTGTGGCAATTAAAAGTGTAGTCGGAGAGTAACGCTGCTGCAGGCAAGTTATGGACTTGAGTTGAATCGGACTAAGGCGGGCAAGTAACCACATCCTTACTTGCCAGAGAGTGTGTGTGTTCGATGTGGGCTCGTGGCAAATAAAGTTCTTCCACTCTGACATCATTCCCCGTCTCTGACCGGATTTTATTACCAGGGAACAGTACCGAATCACGTTTCAGAGATAGTGGTCCAGGGCGTCCGCTATAACAAGTGGTCCTCGGAGCCGGATCTGATCCCTGTAATAAAAGTATGGAAGAACAGCATGCCAGGAGACACCAGGCTCTTCCTGCCCATCTTCGAGGAGTGACTATCTCCCCCGGGGGAGATCATCACTTCCCAGATCAGCACACACTCCCCCGCCACGTCGGAGACATGAGGAGGAGCCTGGTGGGGCTCATGGATCTCCTCGGTCTGAATCTCCGGTCACTCAGGATAGTTTCCAGTCTGGATGGGACACCAGGGATCGATGGGAAGAGGACACCGAAATGTTGCAGCAGGAGAATAATAGATTGAGAAGCGAGCAGAAAGCCTTGCTGGAAGCATTGGACCAGTTGCGATTGTAGAATGCAGAGCTGGCTAAGAAAAGTGACCAGAGAATGGGCCAGCTTCACCCCCAGGCTACAAATGAGACAGAGCAGTTAGGTGAGCAACTCAACCACCTCAGCAGTGTTATTACTCAGTTGCAGAGTGCATGTGATACACGACCTCCTCAACAGTTCAAGCGAAGAGACCAGTCTGCCAAGCTGGATCGGCAGGCCAGTCCTGGCCATCACAGTGGAGCAGAGTCTGATGGTGGCAAGAAACTGCATGCAGCTTCAATCCAAGGAGTTAAGGGACACATTCTCCCAGGACTTGATATGACAATGCCAAATGAGGGGGCTCTGCGGGAACCTGTTAGGCAGCCAGATTCAGCTTGTCAGCACCCTTAAGAACATATAGCAACACGCCGGCATTCTCTCGAAAGGTACGCTGTTCATTCCAGACATCTTACCCGTCTCTCGAAGAGGATGGCAGCATCGGTATTGGACACCCAGCACTCTCGACGAAGAAGTTGTGATTACTCACCTGAGGGTTTCACCTTGTCAGAGAGAAAACAGCATGCAGCATCATCGTGTCACCCTCGCAGTTTGGACAGGGATTATTACCGTTTCCCAGAGCTGCCAACTGGAGGTTGGGATTGCCCCCATCAAGAGTATGGGTCGCATTACCAGGCCCCTCCAAGACCTGCGCACTCGGAGTACTATTCGTACTCTAGATCCCGACAGCCGAGCTCGGTGGGGGGTCAGGAGCGCTATTATAGGGGGTCAGCACCTACAATCCCATATTTTGTACACCAAAATCCACAAGAGCTTGCAAGGCTGAGGATCGCATTGGAAAAAAATATCCTCCCAGCTGACGCAACAGAACGGTTTAAATTCCAAATACTGGTAGACCATCTTAAGCTGGAGGAGGCCCTGCTTATTGCTGACTCCTATAGCCATTCTAGGCACACTTATACCAACACAATGGATGCCCTCAACCAGGAGTATGGACAGCCGCATCAACTGGCACTCCAGCGTATAGCAGAGTTAATGGACGGGCCACCTGTTATGTCAGGAGATACCAAGACCTTCAGGATGTTTGCACTAAAGGTAGGCTCCCTGGTCAGCATGCTTGCACAATTAGGAAGGAAAGAAATTGTGGAGCTGGAATTTGGGTCCCACGTGTCAAGGTTGCTTGAAAAACTGCCGCATGATTTGAGGTCCAGCTTCCGTCGATATATTCATCTTCAAACCATCCCCATACCTACACTGACTGACTTCTCACACTGGCTTGAATATGAGCTACAGGTACAAGTCGACATGGCATGGTTCAGCTCAAAGAGAGCAACGTTTCTGATGGCAGAGGACCGGAGGAAGTTTACCGGTAAGACAACCACAATACTGTTGAACACTGAGCCCCAAGAATCTGGTGCCGCTCCAACAGTGGCAGCAGCCAAACACAATGGGAAGAAGTATTGTCCTTATTGCAACAGCGTCGATCACTCTTTAAACAACTGCTCAAATTTCAGACAGCTACACAAAGCACAAAGGCATCACTGGATCAAGAGTAACAACCGGTGCTGGTGCTGTGGGAGGACCCACCATGCTGCAGAATGCGATCTAAAGATGTGCTGTAAGACATGCAACCAACAACATCTCCTTGTCCTCCACAAACTCAATGACAGGTCCGCTAAAAATGTGCAAGGCGCCCAGGCCTCTTCTGCAACAACAGGCTCAGGTACTACACGAGTGGGAGAGGAAGAGTTGTACATTGACAAACCACTAGGAGGATGTAAAGTCCTATTGAAAATCAGTTTTACTGAGGAATGGCGATCGAGTCCTAGAGACTTATGCTGTCTTGGATGACGGGTCTGAGCGGACCATCCTTCTCAGCACCACTGCGCAGCAGTTAGGGTTAAAGGGGCAGCCTGAAGAATTACCGCTGAGAACTGTGAGACAAGATATCCATGTCCTCCAAGGGGAGGCTGTCTCCTTCAGCATTTCTCCTGCCTCCCAGCCAAGACGGACCTTCAAAATCAACCGAGCTTTCACAGCCAAGACACTTGGGCTAGCAGAGCACACTCACCCAGTGGATGCCCTTAAGCGGAAATATCATCATTTCAGGGGTCTGGCGCTGCAAGAAATTGACAACGCTAAACCAGTGTTGCTAATAGGATCAGACCACCCGCATTTGGTCACCCCAGTGGAGCCAGTCCGACTCAGCCCCCCAGGTGGGCCTGCAGGTGTCGAGACACGCCTTGGCTGGACTTTACGTGGGCCAACTCAAGGTGTAGTGCAGCAGTTGAGAGAGCAGCAGTGCTACTTCACCACCTGTCAGTCCCCAGGTGTAGACCTGCTGCGAGATGTAGAAAGACTTTGGCAAATGGATGTGCTACCCTGGCGCAGTACCAAAGTCAGCATCATGGTCACAACAAGACCAAGACGGTATTAAGCTTCTCGAGACTAAAACAGAGAGGGTAGAGATTGGGGGAGTTCAACGGTATGCAACACCACTCCTACGAGCTCCTGACATGCCTACCCTGTCTGCGCCAAAGGAGGCAGTACTCCCTCTGCTCCGCAACACAGAGCGGAGGTTGTTAAAGTCATCAGAGAAGGTCCTTTGCTACACAACTGAGATTCAGAGACTACAACGTGAAGGTTTTGTTGTCAAGCTTGAGCCTGGAGCTGACAACACTCCTGCTAGCTGATATATCCCACACCACATGGTGCAGCATAACGGCAAGAATCGAGTTGTGTTCAATTGCTCATTCCAGTTCCAGGGGCAGAGCCTCAATGACCATCTCCTCCCTGGACCTACTTTGGGGCCAACCCTCCTGGCAGTGCTTTTGAGGTTTCGACAGCACCCCGTCGCCTTCAGCAGCGACATCCGTAGGATGTTCCATCAGGTCCGCCTACTAAAAGAAGACCAGCCACTCCTCCGATTCCTCTGGCGGGACTGTAAACGTGACGACCCCCCTTTTGTATAGGAGTGGAGAGTACTCCCTTTCGGCACCACATGTAGCCCCTGCTGCGCTATCTTTGGGGAAGACGTCCGTGAGACTGTGATGCAATCATTCTATGTCGACAACTGCCTCCGGAGCTTGGCGACAGAGGTAGAAGCTAAAGTACTTGTGGAGAAACTACAGAAGCTTCTGGCTGATGGAGGTTTTGAGTTAAGACAATGGGCCAGTAACCAGCCCTCAATCATCAGCCACCTGCCCCCAGAGCTTAGATCAGACAGCGCTGAGCTCTGGATCACACATGGCAAACCTGATCAGAAAGAAGCTGCACTGGGGCTCCATTGGCACTGCTCATCAGACAGGCTGTACTACAAGCTCCACACTGTTGACCATCCTCAAGTGACCCTGCGCACAGTCTACAAGGTTTTAGCGAGTCAGTATGACTGACTTGGCTACATTGTGCCATACACCACAAGAGCTAAGCTTATCGTTCAGCAGATGTGGGCTTCACGGACTGACTGGGATGACCCCAACCTTCCTAAGGACCTTCTCCAGGCCTGGATTGAATGGGAGCAGGACTACATGGATGTACTATAGATTGGAGGTTTAATAGTCATGTGTTCACAAGATTAAAACAAAAAACAAGCCCAATTAATCTTTAGATGGATATGAAAAGTAAATGAGTCATGTTTACTGAAAAACACTGAAGCCAGTGATACCATGCTGTTATCATCAGCAGGCTATCAATCTCCATTGACCACTTTATCATGTTTATGTGAACGATAAAGATAATCTTTTTCTGTTGAGGCTGGCAGAATTGTTGTAAGTATAAAACTGGTTTAAACAGAACGTTTGACCTGATGACTTATAAAAAGTGAAGGTATCACTCAATACAAGATAATGGTGGAGGTCAGCGTGAATGTCTATAAATGTGCACACTTACAAAATGTTTTACTGAGAGACACAAATGTTGACCTAAGGGTGGTGCTTGAAGAAAACTAGCTTATTGGGATTCATCATTAGAGCAGTCTATCCAGTCTGTTTCAGTAAAAGCCAAAGCATGTTGCAGCTGCTGCTGGTGCTAGATAAAATATTAGGGATCAGGAGAAGAAGTTATAATTCAGTTTCGGGGGGGATAGGAATGCCTGTAATCGTGAACCAAATTGCTGGTCCAGTTGATTTGCTGCAGTTGAAATGCACATTGTCACTATATACTAAATGCATCATTTCTCAGTTACTTTTGTGTTTTGTGTTTTCAGATGGTGATAAGCCATCAAAAAATCCAACTTAATTCATTTTTAATTTAAAAATTAGTTGATTAACTTAAATAGTATGCAATAGCTAGGAAGGTCATTTCAGACACATTGCTGTAGTAGTGATAAGACAGTATCTAAAAACAGTGATTTATTTTTCAGATTCAAAAGCTTTATCAAATGCACTCCCCAGCTAAACCTATCGCATTTAAACTGAATTTTCCTCTACCTCCTCCCAAAGGAAATTTACTCCAAAAATAGAGACAGTATGTGAGAAATATGTGAAATTCAGAAAAAATAAAGCAGAGGAAATGATTCATCTTTTTTTGTGAAATACTGTACTGCAATAATGACAATTACCAAATGCTCAAAAACATTTTGAGAGTGCTATTTGGTCTTTTTGGAACCTTCTTGTGTTTAGTTTACTTGCCACTTTTATTGGTCTCTTTTCACCTTGCATGATGTTTCAATTTGTGTGTCAATCCCAGAGGTGGACCTGTCCAATAACAATCTAGAGGTTTATGGAGCCAAAGCCATAGCTGGTATGCTTAAAGAGAACAGCACCCTGGTGAGACTCATTCTGTCAGGAAACCATTTCACAGACCGGTCCACTGAACACCTCTGCCCAGCGCTGATCACCAACACCAAACTACAGCACCTCGACCTCAGCTACAATGCTCTGGGGGAGAGTGCAGGTAGCAAAGTAATTAGTTTTGTAAAGGTCTCATAGTTTCTATAAGGCTGTAGCCTTTCAAAGATTGAAACAGTACCCATGACTCCAGTTTTTATTAAGATGATATTAAAGATTTGTGCAAGAGATACAGTTTTTCACATATTTTCCATTAACAGCACCAGATAACTGAACTTCAGGACCCAGAAATTATATGTTGCATCAATAAATCGCAAAAGACATTAAGGCAGTGTGGGGAATAGGATGTAAATTCTTTTTCTTTGCTTTTCATCTTAATTTGGGCCTTTAAAAAAATCTGCCCTCTGATTTCCTGATTTCCACGAGAAACCAGCAGCAGAGATTAGAAGGCACAGACAAGATCCATTACTAATGTTGGCCTAAGGTGTATCTGCTAGTTTTAATTTTGGTTAGCCAGATAGGATTAAAGGGTTAACTGGGCAAACTGGAGAGCACAGTCCAAAATATTAGTGTAGACTACTATAATTTCCTATATAATTGTCCTGTAATTTCACTTACAGTGTAGATAAAACCATTGAAAATATAAGGCACACAACTATTTAAATACACTCATTGGTGCATAGTTTCCCTTTCCATCTTTTGAAGATAGTTTTTAAAGACAAGCAAAATAATTTATTTAAGGATTTTATTGCCTAAAATCAACGTTATTCTGTGTTTACTTTTCTTTTTTATCTGTACATAAATGAGTAGAACAAAATTGATATAGGATTTTTAAGGCCAAGAGATAACAATACAGAAAATTGTACATACATATTAGCCAGTATTCGTTTTTCTTTCAGACACACAAAACATAAACAGATTTCCTAGCATTTGTTATCTATAGTTATTTGTCTAGAGTGCCCTCTGTTGGACAAACTATGTAATGCCAATACTCATAACATGGCTAAAGAATGTTTCTCCCACTACTTACTTACTTTTTTTTAATCACACGTTATAAATACTGATATCTGTAGATCAGCAAGTAGTAATATCGGCCTTTGTATCAGCACACCCATAAATTGGTTGGATACCATCAATGATTATTTTCAATATGCCAATAGCTGCTGAAGTCATCATATATGCTATCTTTGCTCTCTTTTCCATTTATAATTAATGTACAATAAAGGCCTGTGAAGTGACTATTACTGCAGATTTATTTAACATTAGGACTATACTGTATGTAAGCATGTAAGCAGAAGGGGGGTGGGAGAGGGGTTCTGCTGTCATAAAAGATTTTGCCATAATGGTGCAGCCTTATCTCCAAGCAGTCATAAGACAGCATGCAGCAGCAGATTGTGGCATTCAAAGGTCAAGCACATTTCGCCTTCATTAAAACCTCTTTCAATTATCATGCGGATGAGCTTTGTGACAGGCACCTTGTGGAAGAATGGCAGACCAGAGCACTGAGCATCTGATATAGATAATTGAAAATAAATCTACATGAGGGAAAGGGGACACCACCAAATCTTATCGCTATGATTCATCCCCACATGCTCTATTCTGTATTCCTCAATGCGTCTGCTGATATGTCAAAGTACATTTTTATGCGTTTTAAGCGCACTCTAGCATGTACCAAAAGTGTACCAGTCAAACACACTGACATTCATGCTATGGCATTATGGCTTTTCCAGCTGAGCACATTATCTTGAGTGATTATTAACCACCGAGTGTCATGCAGTTTTTTATATTTATGGAAAATGTCAGTGACATGATGAGGGGTATATATTTTTGTCCAAGATAGTTATCTCTATAGTCGTCACTCAGTAAAGCGTTAAGGGAATATAGTGGAGATGATACAGTGCTTTGAAGAGCAGAGTTTAAAAAAAAAAAAAAAAAAAACGTTTGTCTGATTATGTATAATAATTCATAAACATGTCTAAACTATCTTGTTACCATTTTTACACATTATATTATATTATATAATGTGTATCTAATATATTACATTAGATACACATTATAATTATTCATGAATAATGAATAAACAGACTCACTATTTCTAAACAAGCCTTTATATGAGGATGAGTACATTTCATTGTTTTAAAAATGCAATAATGCAACTATTTATTTTATCAGATTGCCCTGAATTATTCTTATGTTCATTTTCTATTTTCACAAGGGGAATACCTGGGAGATGCTCTGTCTGAGAACACCGGGCTGAGATCGCTAAACCTGGCATGGAATTGCATTCGACAAAAAGGAGCAGTAATGCTGGCCAATGGTCTTGGGGTAATACACTTGGACATGAATGTGTAAACCCTAGATTAGCTTTCTGACCTTATGCAAGACAAAGAAGATCTAATGGTACAGTGAAAAATAAGACTAAAGTACATTGATTAGTTGAAGCCATCAAATAACAAATTATCCTAAGTTAAAATAGCGGTATGTCAAATGAAAGTGGCTAAAAATATCACATCTGGTGTTAGGCATAAATAATTTACCAGTCAAGTAAAAATATTTAACTTCATGTGCATAACCAAAAAATGTATACTTGAATCTAGTAACCCTCCATTTTCTAACTCCACATCCCAGTTACATCAGATTTTGCACAACTTCCCCTAAAGCTATGAAAGGCTTTATATAACTTCCTCATATCTGCATTTGTAACCAATGAAACCAGTAAAAAACAAAAAAACACAAAACATGAAAGTAAGTCCCTCTTTAAAATGGCCTTGAACTGAAAAATTGGGAATCCAATAAAAGGAAAGTACAAAAAAAGAAAAAGGTTTGTGAACTGTACCTTTGGCCACCCACCTTTGACAATATTTATACATAAAGCAATTTGTTTATCTAAACTGATAATGACTGAAATTTTGGCTAAGTGGAGTGGAAACTCCCAAACCAGGGATACTTATCTGGTAAAAGAATTATAACAACATCATAATGATGCTACACTGACATCAAAACCTATTAAGATTAATAATATGGTAATTGCTAATTGCAGACGACATCTCATATCTTGGCTGACTCCCTTATCCTGCTTTGTGAAGCAGCCCCCCAGGCAGGTATTCATCAAGCATCTCACTGCAAGAGAAGCTATACAGTAGTTTTCCTTTCCCTATCTTATTGACCAACATGGCCAAGTGGACCCTGATCACTGGCAGGTGTGATTGATTCACACCCTGGCAGGGATTTTTAATTCAGAATCCATACTTCACTGTCATTTTTAAAGTAAGATATTTCTTTTGTTGAGATTTAATCTTGTTAGAGAACTTGTTCAAGTTGTCCCTTTAAGTATTGATACATTCTTTTCTGTGTTTCAGGAAAATGTTTTTCTTAGAATGCTGGATCTGTCATTTAATGGCTTTGGGAAAGAAGGAGCCAGTGCTTTAGGACAGGCTCTTAAAGAGAACAATGTTTTAGAAGAGTTAAATATCAGGTATGTGTCTTTGTTGTGTTACTATCGAATGATCAGATTAGTGAGTAGAAATTGAGAGCTCAAGCCATGATCATTTTCACAAATTAGAATTCACAATCTTATCTTTCACATTGTTTATAAACTTCCTGGCGAGTTCAAACTACTCTTCCAGACTGATTCTAATCGATCTTAAATGGTGATTACCCTTTTTCTTAAAGAAAGAAATCAAATAATCCAGTTTCCTCTGCCGTTTGCTTAACTTTTTTAGTAAAACAGAGCTTTCTTTACAAATTCACTTGGATGAATAATGCCATTTAAAAAAGTAACACTTTATGATTGCTTCCCTCACACTCCAACACACACGCTTGTTTTCTGCTTTTGTTTCTCGCCACAGTAACAACCGAATACCCCCTGAAGGAGCGATCCACCTCGCCATGGGCCTCAAAGTAAACAAGACAATCAAATCCCTGAATGTAAGCTGCTGAAAAGAGATTGGTTCTAGCTTCACGAGCAATGGGGGGCATCAGTGGATAAAATAGGATAAATAAATGGATCAGTGTACTTCATTTTAATGTAAATGCTCAAGCTGAATTGTCAGGTGCTCAGCTCAGCTGACTGAAAAAGTTATAGAGAACATGCTAAATTGAGTTAAATTCTGCCAGTCGGATACTGACTGCTTGTACGCTCCTGTGTTCGAAATTTTTCATAGCATATGCAAGTTTTAAAATGTACGCAAACTAATGAACAATCCTTGAAGATTAATCAACTGAAAATTCTTTGATATGAGAAGCATCCAAATATTCCTGAAACAAATTATACTGTGTGTGAAAGCATAAAGCTTCACAATAAAATAATAAAATCATTGTGAGAAACTCAGACTAAGCAACAATAGCAGCAGTTGCTTCTTTTAATATGATAGCACACTAACCCAATTGTGAATATAGCTGAAATAGTAGTCCTGGGTGGTCTTTGTCATTGTTTTTTATTTTTTCAGCTTATAATGCTTTCAGGTGGTGAAAAGTCTGTGCTGCCGGCAGGACATTTAAGCACGTGTACTCTCTTTCTAAGAAGCAATTGTTTTGATAGCTGCAGTGTATTGTTTTTAGCATTGTCTTTTTCAGACCTTCTTAAAAAAGATGTTGTTTGGATGGCAGCATATTTTGCCCAATATATAAAATCTGTTTCAGTCTTGATGATTCCTTTCCAGAGGCACGAGCTGCAATTTCCATAGGCATTGATATACCCCCATACCATCAGAGGTATGCAGGATTTTAAACTAAGTTTTGATAATAAGTCAGACAGTCCCTCTCCTCTTTAATCTGGAGGATGCAGGGCCCATGGTTTCCACAATGAGTTTCAAATTTTGACTTGTCTAACCACAGAACAGTTTTCCACTTTGCCTCAGTCCATTTTAAATTAGCTTTGGCTGACAGAAGATGGCATTTCTGGATAATGTTCACATATCTTTGCATCACAGAGCTTTAACCTGCATTTGTGGATGGCACGGCGAACTGTGGTCACAGAATTCTGGAAGTGTTCCTTAGTTCAGTTTCCCTGATAGACACCCTGTCTGTTTTTAAAGGCAGTGCTGCTCTAAGATACTCTTTTCATACCTAATCATTTTCCTGACCTGTACTCAGTTTTTCCAGATGTTTCTTTCTAGTAAGCTATTTTTTTAGCCTTTTGTTACTCCTCTTTGGAGACGTGTTGCTGAATTAAAAATGGCATAATATTCTTCATGAAATAGTAAAATGTCTTGGTTTAAGCATTTGAATTGTTTTCTATCTTCTACTGTGAATAAAATATGAGTTTATGACATTTTTACATTTCATTACATTTTTTGCTCTCTGTTTTATTTTCTTTCTGTTAACATTTTCATTTTGGAATTGTGTTTGGACCTATACTGACTTCATTATTTGAAATGCTGGTTTCTCATGAGCGAACTGACTCCAAACTTTTAGTCATCATTTAAAAAGAGGTGTGTGTGTGTGTGTGTGTGTGTGTGTGTGTGTGTGTGTGTGTGTGTGTGTGTGTGTGTTAAGAAGGTGAATTTGTATCTGCTTCTATTATTTCAGCTGTATTTTTCCTTGTATATTGTTTAGATTGACTCTGGAGAATTACATAATGCAAATTTTGAATTAAAATAATAATAGACCAAAACCATCCCAGGAATAAAGGAATAAGTTGGCATTTGGGGAAATACCATAGATATAAATGAATGTCTACCTCTACCAGCTGGTTAGTTTAGTGGAGTATAAACACTGAAAAATAGTGGCTCTGTGATTACACAGTCTGCCTAACACTGTCTGACGTGTTGTAGTTTGTCTAATCTGTAGAAAAACTAAAGCGTAAGGAAAAACAGTTTCCAGTTTTATGGGAATTACAAGTACAGCTTTCTTGGCATTAAGCGGTATAACAGCAAAGACTCCAGGAAGTTATTGGTTCCTTCCCAGAACCCACATAAACAGCTAATTATCATTTTTACAAAAAAAATTGCATTCAACTAGTTAATTATTGAATTTCATAAGTGCTCTTGGCTGGACTTGGCTAAGTTAATTGACTAACTTCACGGGAGCTGAACAGATGTGAGAAGTGTACCAATTTTGGCATTTAAATCTCCACCAGAATAAGAAAACACGATGAACTATTTTTTGTACATAGCTTCACTGAGGAGATATGATGATATGAAGGGTAGAAATATTTTTTAAAGTCAATAATAGGAAGGTTCTTCATCACTTGCCTATCCGGAACATAACAATTTTTGCTGTTTTTTCTTGTGTACTGTGTGTAACCAGATTGGTAGGAACCCCATCCTGAATGCTGGGTGCTATGGGATCCTTAAATCTGTACAGGACAACCCAGATTCAGCCTTGGAGACTTTAGACTTTTCAGTAAGTCACACGTCTTAGGTCCTTGACATTTTTTCCAAGTGTTCTCTTATTCACTAGTTCCTCTGTGTATCACTTTCTCTAGGACATCACAGTAAGCCGGGATTTTGACGACTTGTATACAGCAGTGAAAGAAATATTCCCTGCGCTTAGAGTAAATCATGGGGGCCGCTTTGGCACATTCAGCAAAGCAAAAGCTTGAAAAGTGTTACTGTAATTGCTGTACTTTTATGCCAGCAAAGATGGAAGAAATCTTGTCAAAGCCCTATGGACGTTTTCATCAACAGATAAACCAAAGGATGCATGCCTGCAAAAATATAACTTTTAAAAAGATGTCTTTTTTTGTTGTTAAAGAGCCATGAGAGCATATCCTTCTGAATAAAATGCACTGTGAATAAATAAAACTTCTTAAATACCCAATCAATTGAAAATAAAGGCAATTCAGATGCTCATTTTCCAGTAGAAACACCATGTGTGTAGTGTTTAAAACAAATTTATTTGATGAAGTCATAGAAAATAGGCATAAAATAGAGGTATTGAGTATGATTCTTTTTAGATATGATCTGATTTGATGTTATATAATGTCAGTGGGTAGAATGATGGAGAGGATCAGAGAGCACTGTATTGTGTATGAAAAGAAGTGAAAGTGGGTTGCACAAAAAGGATTTAAGTACTGCATGACTAGTCTAATAGAAAAACCAGCTTTGAAAGAACAGTCCACTATTAGATAAGAGACCTGTTTACTGAGGCAGGACAACTCGAGCTGTGTTAGATACATACAGTGAGCTGTCATTTGTATGCATGTATCTCTCCCACACACCACTAAATGATCTTAAGCCAAGTTATTTTATTTCAGAACACTGTATGTAATATGTAATGTATATGCATTTGAATACATTTGACAACTAATTGGTTTATTTTGGGGCTTTTTAATAGCTTGTAGGGATTTGGGTCATCTTACGACTACATTTGCATATTTTTTCATTAACAAATAATCAATACTTATTACTATTACTACTTTAGTTACATATGTACTGTATCATAGAACGCATTAAACCCTCTGATCATTTGGCTGCATGCATCTCTTCCATACAACATAAAATGATTTTGAAATCAGTAGAACTATTGCATATGTGATAAACACTTACTGGCACAACTTCACCTCCTTCCAAAGTACATGGAGAGGAGCGATAGTCTAGAGATTGAAGCTTTTGTTGGGGGTCACAGACAGAAACCCATAAATAATAAAGTTGTTCTTCATACAACAAGTTGCTACAGGAGTTTCAACCTCTTTACAGTTTTTTAGGTGCACCTGTTCAGTTGCTCACCAACTACATGGCAACACTTAGCTATGTAGACATGGTCTAGATGACCTGGTGAGGATCAAACCAACCAACAGGATGAAAAAGAATGGGGATTTAAGTGTTTTTGAACGTGGTATGGTTGTTGGTGCCAGACAGACTAGAAACTACACTGGAACTTTTCTGTATAACCTAAGGATTTCAGAAAGAATGGTCAAGAAAAAGAGAAAACGTCTCATGAGCATCAGTTCTCTTGGGGGAAAAAACCATAAAACTGAGCTATGCAGAAGAGCGTCTAAGAATTGCATAACAAGTTAAACTTTATGGACTACAGCAGCAGATGACCTCACCAGATGCCATTCCTGAAAACACAAAACTAAACACCAAAATTGAACTAAAGATCAGAAAGACATTGTCTGGTCTGAGAGTGTGGCATATGCAACATGAAAGCAATCCTGCCTTATATCAACGGTTCAGGCTGGTGGCAGTGTTGTGGAAGATCTGGACCCCTTATTTCCAAATGAGCACCAGCTGGTGGAAAAGACTCCCAAAAACCACACGGGCTATTGTTGCTGACCATGTTCATGCATTTATGTAGGGTGACCATATTTTGATTTCCAAAAAAGAGGACACTTGGCCCAGTCACGAAGAACTTTAAGAATACTGTTTGCTTAAAGAAAACTTTAACATATTTAAACAATGCCTTCTCTGTGCTGTTATGTGAATGGTGAAATAAAAAATGTCATATAGGCTTTTACAAGTCAACAAGTGCAAAAAAAGTGGAGGGTTGGTCATCCTAATTTATGACCACAGTGTACCCGTCTTCTGATGGCTGCTTCCAGCAGAACAATGTAAAATATTACAAACTTTATATAATCTCAAACTGGTTTCTTGAACATGATAGTGACTTCACTGTACTCAAAAGGCTTCTACAATCACCACATCTCAATCCAGAGCACCTTTGAGACTTGGGGGATCAGTAGGTCCACATTACCCATGTGCAGCCGATAAATCTGCAGCAACTGTGTGATACCGTCAAGGTGTACCAAACAAAGTGGCTGGTGTAATGTATATTTCATTTTTAATAATCCTGAAATACAGGGAAGATAAGTACCTCTATAATTATTAACTTGTGACTATAGTTTTATTGTATGCGTTTAGTTCTTCATTTAAACGCATATATCATTTAAAGCACAACATACGCTGATCTACTGGATATTAGATAAACCACTGATCTTTTGGATTAAAAACGTAGCGTGTGACGTAGGATCAACTAATTGGGTCTGATCGATTGTGCATGTGCACTGGCTCGCTCTTTCACGTGCGTTTTTCAGTCTGTGGCTAGCTGACTCAGTAGCTTTAACGTGACTAGCGGTCACATCACACACACACACACACACACAGAGGTAAACATTAACCAGCACAAGTTGTTTGCGTGTTAAAGAAACTTTTTGCTGGAAAGAAGAACATGGCGACAACTAGGTCTGTTCAGGCTAAAGGATATTTGCTGTACAGGTAAGCTATTTCTGTCAATCTGCACGGAACCAGCAGGTAAACCAGTTTTTGCAGATATAGGAAAACACGTGGACCCATTTAAATAAATGAATTGTTAAAGCAGCAAATGGCAAACGGTTAAACATTATTTTTCGCAATTCAATATCTTTTATGTTTTCAGACATATTGCATATGGATATATTGTATCTCTACATTATGTTCCTATGATACGTTTATGTTTTTCAAACATGGTTTGATCACTTGGAGGACCTCTGAACTTTGTCCTGTCTGAACTTTTTTTTTGCCTCTATAGGGTTACGTAACCACCACTAGGATAACTGGGTCCCAACAAACTGAACATGGGGCCGATAGCATATTGTGTATGACACGTACTCATCTGAGAGTAGGATGATCAGATGTCTCTGTTTATGTTGGACAGCACAGCTCTCCCCTTTTCTTTTCTTTTTCTTTTTAATCCATTGTCCCACACATTGAGCCAGTGCCCCACTGAGAAATCCTAAGCTTTGCTGATTTTGGTAAATATGGTGGAAAGTACCTCAAAGAAAATAAAGTGACAGTTTATTCTGGTAAATACAGTTTTTGTCTGGATGCAATTTTGGATTTTTTTTATTTTTTATTTTTTTTAAACAAGGGAAAATATAGCGTGTTGTGACACAGCATCTGTGTGTCATAATTGGCTAAAATGGTCAGATATTGCTCAAAAACTTAAGCTAACCTATGAATATCATCCCTATTGAAATCCAATGATCATTACCAGATAGAACAGCAGCTAAATAGCTATTGAAATAAAAGAGAACACAGGAGTATATAAAGCACGAGACGTAAGAACAAACTTCAGCTTTAATCCTCTATTGTATTTACTTAGAATGAAGTAGGAAAGTTTGCATTTAAATATAATTTATTCAGCGTATACATGCTAAAAGCTAAGCTGGTAACCTACACACTTGATTGCATGTTTAAATTGTTTAAGTTTCCCCAACATTTCTGGCATGCCCCACATTGTCTCACACAAACACAATGTTTTTACCACATGTAGTTTTGTGGGATTGGTCAACTTATCTTTAGCATATGATTAAAATATTTCATTTAACATTATAATTGGATTTCTTTTTATTCTTGGCCATTTTTCAGCCTTATCCATCAAAACTTTGTGGCTACTAACAAGTTTCTACCTTAGGTAACACACCTCCACAAGACCCATGATGACGGCCTTTCATCAGAACCATTCAATAACAGCCAGATTTTAGAAATGATCTGTCCTGCGGTATTGATTTTAGAGCCAATGAAAATGTTGTCTCACTATGTGGGATGGGGAACAAGGGATGAAAATGTTGTGCAGTTCCACACAAAGTGGGTCAACGGGTTACCATATTTTTTTGTGCCTCCATCCAGTACGCATTTGCTCTGGCACTGACTGAAATGTTATTCAGAAAACAAGTCTTTGGCTTATTATATGCTTTGTTATTGTTGATAGGGTGCCATGGGAAATGCATTTTTAATTATAGCTTCCAATTAAAGCCATTGGCCCATGGGGTTATTAAAAGAAACGTCCCACTGACCTTGAAAGTTTTAGGACTTTAGAATGACAAAACAAAGCAAAAGACTCAGCAGATGACTTTGCAAGTACTAACTTGAAACATAATATGGCTTCCTAATCCATTAGTGGGGATACACCAGCCATACAGTATGAGGCAAATCCAGGATTTGAGGTTAATGTGACATTGTATTAAAATTGGGAGTTTTAAAAAGAATTACAAAGGTCCCTGAATTTCAAATGTAGCTGAGTTTAAGTATGTTTGTCAATTTTACTGTCACTTTTCTTAATGAAACTGCTGTTTTACTGTTTGGAATAATTCATATCACCTGTACTTCTCTTCTTTTCATTGGAACACCTTCTAAAAGTACAGCTTTAACACTTGACAGATTGAAGTTTTACTTCTCTGCTATGTGGGGCAAGAAACTGCTAGGTTAATATTCAAATACCATTTGGAGCCTCTTGGATAGTTCCAATAGTTGTAAAGTGAATAATATTCCCCCTTTATCCACTCCAGAGTGGGTGAAATAAAAAGGTTTTATGGTTGAAGACACAAGCTGTAGCATTCAGCCCACTCACTCATACAGTATGCATATTTTTCATATCAAAGAATATTAGCATGACTATCTTTTAGCCCATATGTCATGCACATCTCCATGTTCCTTTTTAAGTTTTTCTTTTTTATATTGACAACTTCTGGGTTTTTATGTTTTTGCTCCGAGCTTTTGTGAAACTTTCTTTCATCTTGTTTCTGTGTAGGAGGTTTTCAGAGAGCAGCGACAAAGGCTGGTTCCGATCCTTATTTGTGCACAAAGTCGATGCCAGGAAAGATGCTCACTCCAACCTGCTTTCAAAGAAGGAGACCAGCAACTTGTATAAGATTCAATGTAGGCCTACACCTTTTTACTTACATAAAAGCAAGGGTTTAGTTTCTTTAAGTGTTGGGTTACAGAAGGCCAAAGACAAGTGCCTGCGATACACTTGCATCACATTATTGTGACATGGATCCTGTATATGTCTCAAAAGTGAAATAAATCATTTAAATGGAAGGCCATATGACCTCAGAGAAAACTGAAAACAACATGAGAGATGAAAATGGGGCTCCTCTGCAACAGCTTATGCATACACAAAACACTGACAGCAACAAGTAATTCTAAGATAAGATGATGTCTCATGCCTGTAAACTTTAGTGACATCTGAACAATTTGTCTGGTTTTCTTTTAGTCTGCAGACGTAACAGTTTCTGTCTCTCGAACAGAAATCTATCATTCTCTCGGGGCTTTGATCTTTTGTGTTGCGTACATCACACCGCACCGGATTTCACACCGGATTTCAATTTGAACACTCTATCAGCCGTTGCCTATAACCTATTGCAAGTGAATCAGTTTTGTATATCAAGTCTTTGCTGAATCAGAGTGTGAAATTACTTTGTTGAAGAATTTGAATGTTGCTTTTATTTTTTATTTTTTTAAATGCATCCATTTCTGATAGGTTTCTCTCTGCCTTTTTTCTTTTTCAGTTCATGACGTCAAACCAGAATGCCTAGAAGCATACAACAGTCTGGAGTATGTACTGATACATTTGAAATATTTCCTGCATCTCTGTCAGTCAAGTTACGTTTTCAGTGCTTTACTTTCCTTGGATTTCTTTCAGCAGTGCAATAGACAAGTGTGCTGGACTAATTAATCAAGATATGGTCTGAACAAAGTTAAAATCAGATGAGCTTCATGATATAAATGTATTTAAAAAATGAAGTGAAGATACAGCTGAGTTTATATCTTGGATGAATTTTTATGCTTCCTGACTGCCCTCTAGGTGGTTTTT